TTTATTTTGTGAATTATTTTTATTATATTTACTTTATTCTAATAAAATTATATGAGCAGGATATTGCCTTTATTTTTTAAAAAAAAAAAAAGGTCAATTCATTTAAAAAACCCACAATAATAATAAATGGTCAATTCGTTTAAGTAATCTTATTTATGGCTTATTGATTATTTAAAAAAAACCATAATAATAATAAATGGTCAGTATCATGCAAAAATTCATTTACTATTGTAACTTGATTTAGTCAATTCATTTAAATAAAGAAGATTTGTACTCGTGCAAATTTACGCAAAAAAAAAAAGGATATCATATATTTTCTTATTAACAATAATAATCGGTTTTTAAATTAGAATAGTAATAAATATGAGTAATCAATATAATTGGGAAGTTTTTGAATGGTTCAAAGCCTCAAGTGATTTGTATCATTGGATTCTCTTAGTTCTTATTGAGCTAAAAGATAGTTCAGAGCAAACTCGCTTTATCTTTGAAGAGGGTTTAAAAGATTTAGCAAGCGAGATAGAAGAAATATATACTAACGTGCAAGAAAGCCCTGATGAACATTTAAAAATAATTAATGAATGTCATAACTGTATATCAACACCAAATAATGAAGATTTAAGACAATCGCTTTTAAATAAAATCTTACCTCAAACAAAGCTTCTTGATGGTTGGTTACCTTATTTACAGCAAATAACAGACTCCCAGCGAACAGTTTTAAGAACAATGGCACATCAAAATATTCAAGCAAGAGTTGCTTATATCAGAGCCATTTCAAAACCTTACTCGGCTCCAGAAGATTCTGAGGGTTATCACTGTACCAAAAATCTTTATTACAGACAAGCAATGAATGAAAAAAATATAATCAATATCAAATACAAGGATTTATTAGCTAAATACAACGAATTATTGGCAAATAAGAATGCTGAAAGTTCAAGTTCCGACCAAAAATCAAGTCACGAAGATGAAGAAACCTTGCCGCAAAAAGTTGGCAAATTAAATGAGCAATTTGAACGTGAGCTCGAGCAAATAAATAAACAACTTTTAGAAAATAAGAAATTAGATGCTCAAATTGTAGAAAATATGAAAGAAAATATGAAAATAAATGACCAGGTTTTAAAAAATAAGGAAATAAATGCTCAAATTTTAGAAAATATGAAAAATTCGCTTGATCATGCATATGAACGTTACAAAGAAAACAATCTTTGTAAACAAGAATTAGAAAAGATTAAAAGTGAATTAAAAAATGCCGAGAAAAAAGCTTTAAATTTACAAGCTGTACTTGAGGAGGCTACTAATATTCGGTTGAGCAATGAATCTGATAGTTATCTTCAATTAAAAAAAGATATCATTAAATTTAAAAAATTAGTAGAGAATTTTATTAAAGTCAAAGGAAGACGCGTACAAATCAAAGAGCAACCAGCAAACAGTTTATTATCAAAATATAAGTTTAAGAAAAATAACGATACTTTTAAGGATGATTTGAGATTCATCCTTCAAAGTATAATAATTGATAAAGTATTTTCTGCGATAGAAAATATAACATACAGAAACAAAAACGGAAATTTCAATTATTTGGAAACAGCAATTATGGATTATGCTAATGAAATAATTGAATGGACCACTAAACTATCCCAAACCCGACCTGGCAATGATCGTGTTACCAAGATGACCCCTATCAAAATTCGACAACAAATATATGAAGCTCTTGCATTGCGTGGATTCAACAATTCTAATAATAAATTTATTAATTCAATCAGAGATGATATTATGAATGAAATGAACAAATATCGTGAAATTCTAGATGAAGGCAGAAAGAAGGCTGTCAGTAAGCATGCTGATGAACTAGTCCGGTCTGGTATTAAACTGTGGTTTTGTTTTAATATTCAGGAGCCTGCAGTAAATATTGAATGGTATGGACAAGGGTGTATTGTCGATACTAATTTCATGGAAGGACCATGGGAGATGGACGATGCGGACAGTTATAGAGTAGAACTTTGTTATTTTCCTTGTATATTTTCAAAAGGAAAAGAACCCGAAATTTATTACAAATCTCAAGTTACTATTCAAGAAATATCTCACTCGTAGGCTTGTTTTAGTGAATGTGAAATCTTTTTTTTTCTTGGCAGTGTGGCATAGCAACATGATATAGAATGTTTCCTTTATTTGCTTTTAATTAATTAATTAGTTTATTAACTAGAGTAACGAGTTACATCAATAATCACCACCACCATTGAAAAATTTTTTTTTTTATGAAACAGTTGTATTATGGTAATTAATACAATTGTCCTCTGGATGTTCAGATTGTCACTTTTTTTTTGAAATCCATTTATTATTATAACTATTATTTTACAGTTGGCACTCGATATAGTGGATCGTATGATATAATGAATGAAGTTGGAAAGTGTCATTCAGCTCGATATAATGATTTTTAATATAAACTCTCTATATAATGATATAGTGAAGTTTTTGTCAAAAGCCAACTCTTCCTTATATCGAGCGCCGCCTGTATAGAAATAAAATAAACAAATGATTACCCTCATATCTGATAAATCAAACTCCTCATTCCAACGGATAGATTTTTGTTTTGATCCCTTGTTTTCATTGGTAAAAAAAACAATTGGTTAACAATAAATGATAATAACCTTTTCCTTCCCTAAATTCAGGAATTGTCAATAATATCCAATTATCAACAGTAAATTTTATATTTACAATATAATAGCAGAAATTATAATCTTTATATCGGTTTTTCTAAGCTAAGTTTTTTTCATCATTCTTGTTTTTAACTAAAAAATTTGACTACTAAATTAAGAAATCTGTCGACTTTTAAACAATTGATCTTGATATCAATGCTTTGATTAAAATTTCTTATTTCTTATTAATTACATGCCCACCATGCAGTAGAAGATGATGATATTGTCGAGGATTTGTATTCTAGAAACAATTTTACAAATAAAACAGTGAGACATGATTTCTAAATTCAGGGTAGGGATGCTATCCACCAGACAACTAAAGTCTGATCACTTGGGTGTACTAGTAGTGCTTTTATTCAGTTTTAATGTGTAGTTTTACGAGCATCACTGCAAAAAAATTGGATCCAGAAAATAAAAGCAATGTTCAACTTTGGTTCTTTTGTTTTCATGAATAACAGAAAGCTCTGATTTTCTAAACTTTATTAAAAAAATTAAATTAGTTTATTCAATAATCCATTCCTTAACTTTGAAAATATTTACAAAGATCTTGACAGCCCCAACTTACAAATTATTAAAAATCCTAACACACTTATTATCGACGGTATATTTCTCATAAAGATGGTTGGCTGACGTCAAATTAGAATCATCATCTTCATCATCATCGAATTCGGAAATTCCCAATTTCGGCAATGCTCGTGTTTCCTCTGGTTCGTCAAGAACGTATCCGTCCAATAATATCCTCTCCTTCCAATGAATTTGATCGGAATCAACAATAGTTTTCCACTCTTTATTTACTCGTGCCAATTTGCACAAAGCTTGAGGCATCTAAATATATGCAAACCTAGTTCAAGCGGTAAGAAGTTGATAAAATCAACTGTTTCATCATCGTCCTCACTATCATAATTTTCTCTTTTGACAATACTTTCTCGTACCTTCCTTTTTCGACATGGATACTATCCGACGGGATACAACCTCTAAGTGATGATTTATTGTAGTAAAATATTTATAAAGGAGGGGGTTATTATTTTAATGATTTTAAAAAAAACCAATTTGCAAGAAAAGGGCAATCCCAAGATTATCCGCGACTATTACAATTATTATGCAAAAAATTTCTTTTAACTTGAATCAATGGTTCATCAAGATGATTTTATTTCAAATCCAAGTGTTTCTTTCACAATAAATTTTAAAAATATTTGTGGTGAAAAAATAAAATTAACAAATAATTAATATAAATTATCAAATGATTGTTCGGTGGTTTAGAAATTATTTTGACAAATGAAACCTATCCAAAATATTTAAATTAATTTTGACCAATAAAATCGTTCCTTAAACATACACAAGACCCTGAGATGGTACTCTCGTTATAATGAACGTCATTCGCTATATGTCAAATTGATTTCTAAAATGCTAGGGGTTTGTCCAAAAAGGTTATCATTGAACGGATTGAATTAGAAAATCGAGAAGTTGAATATGGGAGCCAAAATAAATGACCAAAATTGATAAAGAAATTAAATGAATAATTAATAATAATAGGATATTTTAATTATGTTTCATAAATGAACTTGAAAAAACAAATCATTTTCATTCAAAAATAATCATCTTAGGTTATATGTTGCTTAAAATGGAAAAAAAAACAACAAAATAAGTTGTTTGGAGAAGAGTTGAATTGAATTCAACATAGTAATAGAAGTAGTTATTTTTGATTGTGTTGCTTCCACATTCTCAATTTGAAAAAAATAAATCATTTCATTTTAAATTGTATAATAGTAATATTGCTGCTCATCTTTTGTTTTGTACTGCGCATTAAAATGATAATCAATTTGAAAAGGTGAATTGAGTTTGGAAAAAAGTCAAGTTGCAAAAATAATCATGGCACATACTCATCTTGTTTATCATTTTCCAACTAATATAAAAAGATAGCTATCCTTTTACATCTTCGACATAATAATAATATTTCGTATTACATTTTCACGTGATATAATAACCTGGCCAATAAACGTAGAGATTTTAGTTTCACAAAAAAACCGATTCGAACCGGTTTTTTTTAAACCGCCCCATCCCTATTTACACATAATAATCAAATAACATTATAAAACAATTGATTAAATTTTAAACTCTGACCATCAAATGTTTGTTCTCAGTATGATTGTGTAAAATATTTTTCTTTTTTGCATGCTGTAAAATCACCTTTCCATTACTATCCTCGCTTTATTCAAGTCAAGGATAAATTCGTAACCAATTTGGATCAAAATCTTCACATACTTCTTTATTTAATTCTTATCCAGTTGTTTCCTTATTTTTTCACTTTTATGTACTAGCTGCTGATCTGTTTGGACCCTTTGTTGCTTTTTTCTTTATTTTCGGAGTTTACTTTGCAAATAACAAATTTAATGTGGATGATGTGCATGGAGTGAATAAAATGATATCCTATATTTAAGAAAATTTGAAAATAAATTGAAAGTTCACTTGGAAAAAAAAATCTCAAGAAAAAATTATTGTGCTCAATTTTTACAAACATAATAGGAAAATAATTTGGGATTTTTATTGTGTTAACATTAATATTAACAATTAATATTAAAGGGATCTCTAAATAATACCTCATAGTGATAATTTATCAAGGTAACACATTAAATCTGGTCATATTTTATTATCAGTAAAGATTTATAAATAAATAAATAATAATGACAAGTACAGTATATAATAATTTTATCTTTTATCAATTATTTGAAAAACTTCTAATTCCTCAAATTTACCACGATTTACTATATTTATATTATTATAAGTCGCTGGACTACTATTGACTTCACCACTTGATCTAAACAAGACATCATTACCACAACCAAAAATTCCTAAACAAGAAGTATTACCAGCTACTGCATAATTACTATTGATAACATAACTAAATTGAGCAGTATTGATATTATTTCTATTACTTATATTAAATATAAAACTTTCTGTTGTATTTTTCCATATACTGTTTCCACTCCAATTCAGTGGGTTATAACCACCAATTATTTGCTCTGAATTTTGTAATTTGCTAACTAGAAGAGTTTTGTTGATGTTATCACATTGTTGATGAAATGTAGCAGCATTTAAACCATCCCTGCTACTACGATATAGAAGTTTGAATTCATATTTGACTTCCTTGAATGAGGTATATGGTAGACTTTTTCTATCAATCCAACTTGCAAAAAGCAAAGTAAGCTTTTTATTGATTGTCAATGATTCAAGTTTAGGTTTTCTTGATGGTAATAAACTTAATGTTTGTTGTCTATCAGGAAAAAAATGATATTGTGAAAAGGGTTTCCATAAAGTTCTAGGTAAAAGCATATGATATGGTTCAATTTTATCAAAAAAATCATCTTTAGAAATATCCTGAAACCTTATTAGAGGAAAGAAATCTTTTAATGTACTGCTTAAGTCAGCAAAATTTTGTGATGACCAATCTTCAACATTGATATTATTGATTTCTGGATGTTTTGCCAAACCCCATTTAAGAATGTTTTCCCAAATGACCATCTCATCAACAGAAAAATCTTCTCTTTTGAGAATTTCCAAAAGAACCAGTTTTCCCAATGATTTAAATTCACTTGATTCAAATAGTTTTTCATGATATTTACAAAACTTTTTTAAATAAATATTTTTCAATTCCTTAAAATTTTCATTAGCATAAATCAATTGCAGAGTTTTAACTGGATTTTCTTTTACATAATCTTCATAATTTTCAATAAAGTATTTCATCATATATTCATAAAGTGATTCAATGCCAAGTTCATCTGCTGCAATTAATAGTTCTAATACTTCAGCTCCAGAACAATTTTCAAGTTCAATTTTACATGTATATAAAAATCTTCCAAAATAAACAAATTATTAAACAGGTTATTAATATCATTATTTATATGTTCATTATTAATAAATAAATAAATAAAATTTTAAACTCACTTGAGAATAGGTTTGAAACATTTTTCACTAATATTAGCTTTCGTAATAATATAATAGCCATTTTCTCTTGTTGCATTATTTAATGCATTTCTAAAAAATGGACAATGAGCTGATATGATGGATGTATGTGCATGGACTTCTTTAATGTTTGGTTCTACACCAACTTTTATTTTTACATCATAAAAATCTTCAGTGCTTAATAATCTTTCATTCTCATTGAAATATTTTTCAAATATTGAATTCATTTTTTTTTTTTTAAAAAAAAAATGGATGATCAGCACCAATCATATATCAGCTCTTGATTCAATTTTATTGAAAAACTTCCAATTCATCAAATTTATTGCTATAAGAGTCTGTTATTATAACCATCTATATTAATATGTTTAAGGCCTTGCTCAAATGACAAATAATCATTATTATCATTATTAATCAATGAATCATCATCATTACTTA